CAAATTTGATTCTCGACTTATACACGAGGTATCTGTAAGACACTTCTATTTATTACTCAAGTTTGATCCTCGACTTATACACGAGGTATCTGTAAGACACCTCTATTTCTTACTCAAATTTGATTCTCGACTTATACACGAGGTATCTGTAAGACACTTCTATTTATTACTCAAGTTTGATCCTCGACTTATACACGAGGTATCTGTAAGACACCTCTATTTCTTACTCAAATTTGATTCTCGACTTATACACGAGGTATCTGTAAGACACCTCTATTTATTACTCAAATCTGATCCTCGACTTATACACGAGGTATCTGTAAGACACCTCTATTTCTTACTCAAATTTGATTCTCGACTTATACACGGGGTATCTGTAAGACACCTCTATTTCTTACTCAAATTTGATTCTCGACTTATACGTGCGTTTATCGATATTATTTGCCTTTTATTTTGGTAGCGAGTGTTTTAAAATAGTAAGTTAAGAAGATGGTTTCAAAAACGAATTGTTTACTCTCGACTTTATTCATTTTTGTTTCGATCCTGCCTAATCATTTTTACACAGTTCTGTAATGTATTTAGATTTCTCACAGTAGATCCAGTTTCACAGTTGTTGTTGTTGTTGTTGTTGTTCTACTTCTAAATTTCTGACTTAAATTGTTTCTTTCACGTTTTAGGCCGACCCAGATCAGAGAGAAACAATGAAAGTGTATCACTTGTTTCAGCCTCTCATCTTCTACGAACGCTTTGTGTGATATACCTGGTGATATTTGGACGCCATGTTGATTTATTATAAAAATACTAACTGGGGAAGTGAACGGTAATGCAAGAGACCGTAGTTAATTCTCACAACTAAGCCTTTTTTTTTCTTTTACCCTTTTGTTTTGGTAATTCAAAGAACTCCTTAGGTTTGGACCATGAAAAAAAAAAGACAATAGTAGTGAGATGAACGAAATCTGTGGTAAAGATTACCAAAAGTTTACGGTATGAAAAGTAGCAGAAAAAAGAAATTAGGCCTATCTTTGTGATGGCAAGAACACGGCATCTACGTTACATGTATTAACTGGACAGGAGGTCGTTAACTAAAAGAAACAAATGTGACAAAACTGCACAGCTATACTTCCAGTTGTTGATATTTTAAGAGAACAGTGCAGTCTTCCTTATTATAATCAACGTTTGTTTATTCTAAATTTGAGACTTTGACCAACTTTTTATACTTTTAGCAGTTTTAAACAATATATATTAACTTCAATTTCAATATAAAAAAAAATCCGATGTAGTTTCGATTTTCTACAACCAAACGTATCCCTCAACAATCAATATTCTTAATTGATAAATAATCACGGACAAGTGACGTTTGTAAGTCTGTTTAATTTCTAATCCTTTAAAATATTAAAACTGTTTCTTCAGGTAAAATTATCTAATTTCTTGGCAAAGAAGGATCCACCAAAGAAGGATCCACCAAAGAAGGATCCACCAAAGAAGAATCCACCAAAGAAGGATCCACCAACTCTTTGCTCTCTGCAATTGGTTTAGTTCATGCTTATTTTTTTTTCGATATTTGTACAACCGATTGAGTGTAATCGACTTGGTTTTTTTTTCATAAGCCTATAAACGAAGACTTAGCTTGAAAAAAAGGTACATTTCGATGTGTGTCTCTTTACATAAAAGCATGAGATTACATTATCCACAGTTAAAGATAAATATGCTTTACATTAATTATCCGCTAGATGGCGACTGTGTTCTTCAAAATAAAGAAGTGCCTATATTAAATCAAGCACGTTGTTTTATTATCCTCTGAAATAACAGTCGTCGACACATTATATTACTACAACATCAACTGTGGTCTTTGAGTTTTATACACAACCGAAGTACACACGATTTTGGGTGTGAAAGGGTTAGGGTAAATGCTCATAGTTTGGGTTTATAGGTGTTTGTTTTGTTTTTTTTTAATTTCGCGCATAGCTACACGAGGGCTATCTGCCGTCCCTAATTTAGCAGTGTAAGACTAGAGGGAAGGCAGCTAGTCATCACCACCCACCGCCAACTCTTGGGCTACTCTTTTACCAACGAATAGTGGGATTGACCGTCACATTATAACGCCCCCACGGCTGAAAGGGCTAGCATGTTTGGTGTGACGGGGATTTGAACCCGCGACCCTCAGATTGCGAGTCGAGCGCCCTAACCACCTGGCCATGCCCGGCCATTTTATAGGTGAGGTGAAGTAACATTAATGTCTTTAAAATATCATTTTAAACATTAAAAACCCACGATTTCGACTTTTATGGAAGAAAGTGTGGTATATATACACCTAGGTTTTATGGAAGAAAGCGAGGCACATCTATGTTTTTCTTTTTCACCTAAGTTCGACTTTATTATCTAATACTTGGTTCCTAACAGATATGGAGAAAAAAGAAGTGAAAAATACAATAATTATCAGTAAAACTTGTTAGAAACTTAAATTATTGGTAGGGAACAGAAATTCAAAATCAATAAGCAGTATAAACTCACGGTTATAAACAACTTTAATACAGAAGTAGTAAAAACTACATATCATAGACGTCAGCAGATTGAGCACGTGTTTTTTTTTGTAATAGAGGTACTTACGTACCAAAGACTGTCACAAACGTAGGGTCAATGCGACGTGTTTTACCGGCCTGGGCAAACGCTGACTGTACCTCCCATCCCCGCTCCTCTGCCACTAAAAGAATTCCACCCAATTACGCCTCAAAGAATCTGCCGCCCTGTGGAAATGCACGTGCTGCACCCCCCGATCGCGCCGCCCCAGTATGAACGAGCACTAATATGCTGAGAATTAATTAATATATTACATGTTTATGAATCCACAATTGTCATTTTGATTAGTAAAGTTGGTTTTTATTAAATAAAATACTACAGAAACACACAACCAGGGTGTTATTATAATATTTTAGACATAAGAATCCATACACACACTTTTAACCACTGTTAGGTACATGACGACTGGTCAATATTGAAGTTTCTATGAAATGTGAAGTCAACTAATAAAGTACATGTTACAAAATATTACAAATAAGATACGTCAAAGACTCTTAGTTAAGGATTTCATGATTTATATATATATATATATACGTATAAGATCTTAAAGTGCATACAGTTTCATCCAATCTTCATTACGTGCTTTACCACTTAGTGTCGAACCATTATCTAATATTTATTATTTACATAGAAATAAAACACAGAATAAATTCAATCAGTTGGAATAGCAGCAAGTGTTTCATTTTGTAATATAATTTATTATACAGGGTGGTCCAAAACACTATATTTCCTTCTTTTTTTTTACAATTTAATAATTAAATAGCTAAAATAATAATAATAATACCATGCGGTTTTCAACATCTGAAACAGCTTTTATGGTCATGTTTTGTTTTGTTTTTCACTTCAGAGGGTAGTATTACCCCGTAAAATGGCAACCGTGCAAGAAAAGGCTCAACGTGTCGTTTGGCGGGCACAGACCAAATCAGTGACTGTGGTGCAGCGTAATTACAGACGCCAGTAAAGGAAAGAATTATGGGGGTATGTTAAGGATATCGTGTATCGCACAACTATAGAAAACATTAGGATAACGGACGCCATCGCTACTGTTACTGTGAACATGTTGAAGCGAACGTGGACTAAAATCAAATATCGGTTCGTCGTGCTGGGTGCCACTAATAGTGCACACGTGG